GGCTCACGAGGAGCACTTCACACGCTACTCGGGATGTACTTGTGTATGTACAGTATACTGAGCAGGAGACATATGGTGTAGGTGATACCACTGCTCTCCACACCTCACCTGGCAGGTGTCACGCCCCCGCTAGACCATCACCTGGCAGGTGTCACGCACCAGCTAGACCATCACCAGGCAGGTGTCACGCCCCAGCTAGACCATCACCCGGCAGGTGTCACGCCCCAGCTAGACCATCACCCGGCAGGTGTCACACCCCAGCCAGACCATCACCCAGCAGGTGTCACGCACCAGCTAGACCATCACCCGGCAGGTGTCACGCCCCAGCTAGACCATCACCCAGCAGGTGTCACGCACCAGCTAGACCATCACCCGGCAGGTGTCACGCCCCAGCTAGACCATCACCCGGCAGGTGTCACGCCCCAGCTAGACCATCACCCGGCAGGTGTCACGCCCCAGCTAGACCATCACCCGGCAGGTGTCACGCCCCAGCTAGACCATCACCCGGCAGGTGTCACACCCCAGCTAGACCATCACCCAGCAGGTGTCACGCACCAGCTAGACCATCACCCGGCAGGTGTCACGCCCCAGCTAGACCATCACCCAGCAGGTGTCACGCACCAGCTAGACCATCACCCGGTAGGTGTCACGCCCCAGCTAGACCATCACCCAACAGATGTCACGCCCCAGCTAGACCATCACCCGGCAGGTGTCACGCCCCAGCTAGACCATCACCCAGCAGGTGTCACGCACCAGCTAGACCATCACCCGGCAGGTGTCACGCCCCAGCTAGACCATCACCCAATAGATGTCACGCCCCAGCTAGACCATCACCCGGCAGGTGTCACGCCCCAGCTAGACCATCACCCAGCAGGTGTCACGCACCAGCTAGACCATCACCCGGCAGGTGTCACGCCCCAGCTAGACCATCACCCAACAGATGTCAAGCCCCAGCTAGACCATCACCCGGCAGGTGTCACGCCCCAGCTAGACCATCACCCAGCAGGTGTCACGCCCCTGCTAGACCATCACCCAGCAGGTGTCACGCCCCAGCTAGACCATCACCCAGCAGGTGTCACGCCCCAGCTAGACCATCACCCAGCAGGTGTCACGCCCCAGCTAGACCATCACCCGGCAGGTGTCACGCCCCAGCTAGACCATCACCCAGCAGGTGTCACGCCCCTGCTAGACCATCACCCAGCAGGTGTCACGCCCCAGCTAGACCATCACCCGGCAGGTGTCACGCCCCAGCTAGACCATCACCCAGCAGGTGTCACGCCCCAGCTAGACCATCACCCGGCAGGTGTCACGCCCCAGCTACACCATCACCAGGCAGGTACGTGTCACACCCCAGCTAGACCATCACCCAGCAGGTGTCACGCCCCAGCTAGACCATCACCCAGCAGGTGTCACACCCCAGCTAGACCATCACCCGGCAGGTGTCACACCCCAGCTAGACCATCACCCAGCAGGTGTCACGCCCCAGCTAGACCATCACCCGGCAGGTGTCACGCCCCAGCTAGACCATCACCAGGCTGGTGTCACGCCCCTGCTAGACCATCACCCAGCAGGTGTCACGCCCCAGCTAGACCATCACCCAGCAGGTGTCACGCCCCAGCTAGACTATCACCCAGCAGGTGTCACGCCCCAGCTAGACCATCACCCAGCAGGTGTCACGCCCCAGCTAGACCATCACCCGGCAGGTGTCACGCCCCAGCTAGACCATCACCAGGCTGGTGTCACACCCCAGCTAGACCATCACCCAGCAGGTGTTACGCCACAGCTAGACCATCACCCAGCAGGTGTCACGCCCCAGCTAAACCATCACCTGGCAGGTGTCGCACCCCAGCTAGACCATCACCCAGCAGGTGTCACGCCCCCGCTAGACTATCACCTGGCAGGTGTCACGCCCCCGCTAGACCATCACCAGGCAGGTGTCACGCCCCAGCTAGACCATCACCAGGCAGGTGTCACGCCCCAGCTAGACCATCACCTGGCAGGTGTCACGCCCCCGCTAGACCATCACCCGGCAGGTGTCACACCCCAGCTAGACTATCACCTGGCAGGTGTCACGCCCCAGCTAGACCATCACCTGGCAGGTGTCACGCCCTAGCTAGACTATCACCTGGCAGGTGTCACGCCCCCGCTAGACCATCACCTGGCAGGTGTCAGGCCCCAGCTAGACTATCACCTGGCAGGTGTCACGCCCCAGCTAGACCATCACCCAGCAGGTGTCACGCCCCAGCTAGACCATCACCCGGCAGGTGTCACGCCCCAGCTAGACCATCACCCGGCAGGTGTCACGCCCCCGCTAGACCATCACCTGGCAGGTGTCACGCCCCAGCTAGACCATCACCTGACAGGTGTCACGCCCCCGCTAGACCATCACCTGGCAGGTGTCACGCTCCAGCTAGACCATCACCTGACAGGTGTCACGCCCCCGCTAGACCATCACCAGGCTGGTGTCACGCCCCCGCTAGACCATCACCTGGCAGGTGTCACGCCCCCGCTAGACCATCACCTGGCAGGTGTCACGCCCCCGCTAGACCATCACCTGGCAGGTGTCACGCCCCAGCTAGACTATCACCTGACAGGTGTCACGCCCCAGCTAGACCATCACCTGGCAGGTGTCATGCCCCTGCTAGACCATCACATAGCAGGTGTCACGCCCCAGCTAGACCATCACCCAGCAGGTGTCACGCCCCAGCTAGACCATCACCTGACAGGTGTCACGCCCCCGCTAGACCATCACCCAGCAGGTGTCACGCCCCAGCTAGACCATTACCCAGCAGGTGTCACGCCCCAGCTAGACCATCACCCAGCAGGTGTCACGCCCCAGCTAGACCATCACCCAGCAGGTGTCACGCCCCAGCTTGACCATCACCCAGCAGGTGTCACGCCCCAGCTAGACCATCACCCAGCAGGTGTCACGCCCCAGCTAGACCAGTACCCGGCAGGTGTCACGCCCCTGCTATACCATCACCCAGCAGGTGTCACACCCCAGCTAGACCATCACCCAGCAGCTGTCACGCCCCAGCTTGACCATCACCCAGCAGGTGTCACGCCCCCGCTAGACCATCACCCGGCAGGTGTCACACCCCAGCTAGACCATCACCCAGCAGGTGTCACGCCCCAGCTAGACCATCACCCAGCAGGTGTCACGCCCCTGCTAGACCATCACCCAGCAGGTGTCACGCCCCAGCTTGACCATCACCCAGCAGGTGTCACGCCCCTGCTAGACCATCACCCAGCAGGTGTCACGCCCCTGCTAGGCCATCACCCGGCAGGTGTCACACCCCAGCTAGACCATCACCCAGCAGGTGTCACGCCCCAGCTAGACCATCACCCAGCAGGTGTCACGCCCCAGCTTGACCATCACCCAGCAGGTGTCACGCCCCTGCTAGACCATCACCCAGCAGGTGTCACGCCCCAGCTAGACCATCACCCAGCAGGTGTCACGCCCCAGCTTGACCATCACCCAGCAGGTGTCACGCCCCTGCTAGACCATCACCCAGCAGGTGTCACGCCCCTGCTAGACCATCACCCAGCAGGTGTCACGCCCCAGCCAGACCATCACCCAGCAGGTGTCACGCCCCAGCTAGACCATCACCCAGCAGGTGTCACGCCCCTGCTAGACCATCACCCAGCAGGTGTCACACCCCAGCTAGACCATCACCCAGCAGGTGTCACGCCCCTGCTAGACCATCACCCAGCAGGTGTCACGCCCCAGCTTGACCATCACCCAGCAGGTGTCACGCCCCAGCTAGACCATCACCCGGCAGGTGTCACGCCCCTGCTAGACCATCACCCAGCAGGTGTCACGCCCCAGCTTGACCATCACCCAGCAGGTGTCACGCCCCAGCTTGACCATCACCCGGCAGGTGTCACACCCCAGCTAGACCATCACCTAGCAGGTGTCACACCCCAGCTAGACCATCACCCAGCAGGTGTCACGCCCCTGCTAGACCATCACCCGGCAGGTGTCTCGCCCCTGCTAGACCATCACCCAGCAGGTGTCACGCCCCAGCTTGACCATCACCCAGCAGGTGTCACGCCCCAGCTAGACCATCACCCGGCAGGTGTCACGCCCCTGCTAGACCATCACCCAGCAGGTGTCACGTCCCAGCTTGACCATCACCCAGCAGGTGTCACGCCCCAGCTAGACCATCACCCGGCAGGTGTCACACCCCAGCTAGACCATCACCCAGCAGGTGTCACGCCCCAGCTTGACCATCACCCAGCAGGTGTCACGCCCCAGCTAGACCATCACCCGGCAGGTGTCACGCCTATGCTAGACCATCACCCAGCAGTTGTCACGCCCCAGCTTGACCATCACCCGGCAGGTGTCACACCCCAGCTAGACCATCACCCAGCAGGTGTCACGCCCCAGCTTGACCATCACCCAGCAGGTGTCACGCCCCAGCTAGACCATCACCCGGCAGGTGTCAAACCCCAGCTAGACCATCACCCAGCAGGTGTCACGCCCCAGCTTGACCATCACCCAGCAGGTGTCACGCCCCAGCTAGACCATCACCCGGCAGGTGTCACGCCCCAGCTAGACCATCACCCAGCAGGTGTCACGCCCCTGCTAGACCATCACCCAGCAGGTGTCACGCCCCAGCTAGACCATTACCCGGCAGGTGTCACGCCCCTGCTAGACCATCACCCAGCAGGTGTCACGCCCCAGCTAGACCATCACCCAGCAGGTGTCACGCCCCAGCTAGACCATCACCCAGCAGGTGTCACGCCCCAGCTAGACCATCACCCAGCAGGTGTCCCGCCCCTGCTAGACCATCACCCAGCAGGTGTCCCGCCCCTGCTAGACCATCACCTGGCAGGTGTCACCCCCCCAGCTAGACCATCACCTGGCAGGTGTCACACCCCAGCTAGACCATTACCCGGCAGGTGTCACGCCCCTGCTAGACCATCACCTGGCAGGTGTCACGCCCCAGCTAGACCATCACCCGGCTGGTGTCACACCCCCGCTAAACCATCACCAG